ATAATTCTTACAAAAAAAAAAAAAAAAAAAAAAAAAAAAAAAAAAAAAATTCATTTGCTTCGACTAAGCACTCGTCATGAATATGTAGCTGGCTGATTCAATGCACTATTAAGCTCCACACAGTTTCAAAATTAATAATAATAGATCTGTTTGTCTTCTCTAAATCTTATTTTTTCATTATTCTTTATTTTGCTGTTTTGTGCTATCACCTTTTTGTGTCATCAGGCAACTGTGAATCGTTCCAAGGGGAATCAAACTGAGATATCAAAAGCCGATCTTATTCAGAAGAGTGCTTACTGCCGGGTTTCAGGTAAGTATTTCTTGGTTGTTTTGCTTATTACTTAAAAGAGTAATGCTATTTATAGTGAAGACGATTGGTGGTCTCTTTACGTGGCATATACATAGATGTTTGTTATTTTAGTTGCATCAAGGCGACTACTGATAGTTTTAACTGTGAATAACATTTTTCTACTAAAAAGGATCCCCATCTGAAATGCATCTACATGCAAAATAAATATAAAAAGAGAGCTTGAATAAATTCAAATTCCCAATTAATGCAATTTCCATTGGAATTATCATGATGGCTGTCGTCATTGCTGCAGATCGTGATATGGACCTTCTTGAGTTGTCGGCCTATGGCAATGTTCGTCGTGGACAAGATTCTGGTGGATGCAACATTCAATGATTTAATTTATCGCTCGGCATACTATCCTTTTTGTACTTTGTTTCCCTTGTGATACATATTCTTGTCACAATGTATTTGTATCGATTGTGGTGGAAATGAGGGAGAAAACTCAGAAGTGCTGTCCCAACTTCTGGTAGAAGAATTCAAGTCAATTATACATGCAGTCAAATATTAACCAAAAGTAAATAGAATTGACTTTTCGGTTATGGGATTTTTATTTTTATTTTTATTTTTATTTTTATTTTTATTTTCTTTTTTCTTTTTTAACTTGTAGTGGGTAATCTTTACTTAACCTTATCACGCATTGTTTTATTTTATTAATACTTTGATAAGTGGTAATCTTGATCACCATTATCAAAACTAAAGTCCCAATTGGACTTTCTTCCCCAATATGCCTTTTTCATCCACATATTCCATCTTTTTGACCTTTTGAGTCATTTCTATATTCAATGAAAAGGGGAAGGTTTTTGGTATGGTTTGTCCTAAAAATTTCAATGTAGCTTAAAGGATGTTGGTGGTTCTTTTTCAAAAAGAAAAAGGATTTTTTTATTTTTTATTTTTTTTTGCACAAATACCCTACTAGATTCTTCTACAATGATATAGCGATCCCTAAGTTTCTAGATATGTTGCTTTTATGCTCGAATTGAAAAAGCCACTCGTTCCTAAGATTAAAGAAGAGTGAAAGACTTCATGATTATTTTTGGAATTTAATATCAAGAAGCGTTTTCATTTTGCAGATTGATGTCAACTTACTTGTGATTACAATAAAGAGAAAAAAGTTAAAATATTATTTTATTGTACTGTACAGTCGTCTACATATTTTGTACTGAGCATTTACTTAAAAGCAAGAAGTAAAAGTTGTGCTTATAACGCAGTTTTGTCAAATTGAGTGGCTCAATCTCCATTGGTGGGGACCTTGAATGCATTAGGGTCTGACTTTTGTGTGAAATGCTTTACATTTCCACCTAAAAAACGCTAAACTTTGGATAAAAAAAAAAGTGAAAAAGAAACTTTTGAAGTGGGGGATTGACCTGCAAGTCCTGTGAAAAAAAGTTGCTTTTCTAGCTCTATATGTTGTATGGCCAATGACATTGCCAAATGTTGCTCTCTTATTGCCACTAACTTTAGACAAAAAAGATGTATAAAATCCAACATATTAAATTTCTCTTAAATAATTAAAGAAATTTTTTGAAAATTCAGCTTTCTTGGCTTCGAAAAGGGTTATTTACAATTTTGTCCCTGTTAGTTTCCTTTGTATAATTCAGGAATAGTCTATCAAGTCACTCTCGTTTTAATACTATTTAATCGTTATAGATCAATAAAAAAATAAAATACAGCATACCTTGAAAATTTATAGGAACTTCGTAAATATTTTTCAAGTTTACAACAAAAAAATAATTTTAAAAATCATTAATAGTCCAAACATAGAGAAAGCTATGTACTAAGCTAGTTTGGATTATGGCGAATCTGTTGTTGGACTTATTTCCTTATTAAGTTTGGGCAATGATTAAATATTTTATTGAGCTGAACTTCAAAATAAGAAAATATCATTTACCACGAGAGAGGAATGCGCCTTAGGTGGTCAACGTAGAGTTGATTGCCGATTTTTTCGTCTAGACGCAAGGAGGAGAGTTTCCTCCGAGCCCCAAACCTAAACAAGACTTTTAAAACACTGCCTAAAAATACAAACACGTATCATGATTATCATTATTGTTAAGTAGACTCTTCTCTCTTTTGAACATAGGATTTGGAATTATAGATCTTTGAGTTAGGTTTACTACTAGGTAGTCAAAATTTTTACAAACAAAATCGTCTTCAACTAATAGACAAAAAATGATCCCCACGACTCGTGAGAGCTAGCAATGGCTGTTTCACTTTGATGCACATGAAATTTTCAAATGGTGGACGGCTACAATTTGATCATATCCCTTTGATGAATTGAATGTTACCCCCCACGCCACCACGGCCCCCAAGCCTATCAAAAGTGAAACTTGTCACTTTTTAACAAGGAAAATCGTAATAAATGTCTCCAAAAGGAAAAGGGCAAAAGAAAAAAACAAAAGCAAATTGAAAAAAAGCCATAAGCATTTATTGCACTATCTGCCTATGGAATTTTGGGGACCTACTGCAACTAATCTTCTCAATGAGATGTGGTTTACATTTGCTGGAAACTTGATAGTATCTCAACATGTGATCCATATTTTGGTAGTGTAATCGTATTAAATATATTTGTCAAAAATGAAAAAATGATTTTAGAGAGAGGAGAGAGAAAGTTATGAACTTTCAAATCATGGTTCCTCCTTTTCCTGAAATTGTTTGGTTTTTGAAAAGGAAAGGTAATTGGCTTTTTCTGATATTCACCCTTGACCCCTCAAGCTGAAGACAAGTTAAACCGTAAGTTGTGCCCCAAACTGACCAGTACTCAAGAGCCCCTCTAACTGATCTGCTAAAGTGTCAAACAAGTCGTTTCCCATCTTTGCACCTTGCCTTCCAGTAAAGCTCCTGCCTTTCAGGATAAATCCTGCCTTCCAGGAGAATATCTGCCTTTCAAGAGCCTTCTAGGAATCGAACTCACGACCTTTGATTTGCTAGCCTTGAAGCGCCCTCATCTTTGCCAATTGGGATGTGCCTTGGGGGCAGGGACAAAGCAAATCTTGATTTTCCTTTGGCTTGTGATAGACGTAAGAGAGGGATATATATCAAGAATAGGCTTCTATATACAATTCAATTTTGTTAGTTCTTGTACATGTTAGATACACGGTATTAAATATGACTCGATAGTATACAAGGAAGAAATTTTCAACCTGTAAACCAAACTTTAGTTCGGTTCTTTTCTCTGGTCCGATTCGATTAAACGTAGTTCAACATGGGAAACATTCCACGTGTTGAAAGTGAAGCAATGCTCATAAATGTTAGAAAGGGGACAAACTTTAAAAAGTTGCACAAGAAAAGTTGCTATCATTGAGAAAAAAAGAGCCACTTTTCAAACTACTTTTCAAGGGACACTAAAAGGGTTAAATTACATTACACAGCATCTGCATTTAGTTAAAATATATTTCACTCTCGTTCTGTCAGTATTATCCTACAATGTACATGAAAACACACTCACCAAAGGTAAAACAAAGACATCTGCTTAATGTTACAAGGTACAAACTGCAGTTTTTGCTATGGCTTCTCCAAAATATGCCCCATTTTACAGAGGCATGAATCTGCAGCCTTTACTGAACATCCCAAGTAGTCTACTTGAGGCTTCGAATTATCGTCCCAAGAAGTCAGTCGAGGTTAAATATTTTCTCAGGAGATGAATCAACAGCTTTTTAACTACTTGATGATACTCAAGAAAAACCACCCTTCAGGCAGTCTCCTGGAAGCTAATGGATCGAGAGAATGCAGCAGGGTTAGCCTGCAATACAGGGGAGGGCGAGACAAGGGATTTTTTCTCGTCGCCTTTTGGTTGCAAGGCCTTAAAAAGTTCTTCCCTGCTAATGGAATCGTACTTGATCCCAAGCGTTTCCCAAATGGAACTCTTTGCAGCTTCATCAGGATCATCAATCCTCAAAGTTTTTGGAATTACAATTGAGCTTCCCGAATTCTTCTCTGACGCACATTCTTTGCCTTCTTGGTAGTTTGGCTTAATCAATTCCCCGTCCCTCGAGTGCTTCCCCAATGGTGAGTCTGGACCAGAACTTGATTTCTTTTGATTTGCTGTAGGAGATGGTACTGATAACCCTGGAACATTCCAAGCACTGGGAACGCCACAATTCCAGTAGGGTGCCGGGTAGAATGGCATGGGAAATCCCGGAGGACAAATGGCTGGCACAGGAACAGCAAAATTCCAAGGTACAGGCCAAGGAACCCCGGGAATACAAGGAACTGGAGTAGGAAAGCCATTTACATTTTTCATCATCGGCTCTTGGAGCCCCTTTTTTACTCCATCTCCCATTGAATTCAATGTAGTCAAGGACGAACCACTAGAACAATCATCGCCATTTTCTCCACCTCTGCAGGAAACCGAGGCCCCTCGATCCATTTTACAGTACCCGTTTTGAATACCATTAGGTAATTTTTTCTCCGCAAGATTCAAAGCAGAAGCCATAGATTCACACAGAGGCGAATCAGGACCAAAAGACAGGACAGTGCCATTTGGTTTAAATGTCGGATGATGAAAACCATTAGGAACGTCAATTTTTGATGCATGGAGGGCTTCAGAGATTGTAATTTGACGACAATGAGAGAGAGAATTCTTGTTCTTACGACGACCAGCTCCCACAGGAACATTCCTCATTGTACCCCCATCCGTCCAATATCTCTGACAGCTCTTGCAAAAATGACGAGGTTGATTAACGTTGTAATTGTTGTAGTAACAAAACTTTGTATCCATGCTATTGCAACGGGGGCAGGGAAGTAGTTTGTCAGGCTTCTTCAGAGTCTTTTGTTGTGGATTTGTCGAATCATTTTGATCATTTTCGTTTTTGGGCAGATTTTCCGATGCATCATCTTCAACAATGGAGGGAATTTTAGGATTGTCAGCTGACTCTAACACAGTAGTAGGATTCCCTGACTCCTTAGACGCAGCTTGATGGTCATCATCATCTTGTGCCGTACTTTCACAGAATTCTCCAGCTATTTGGTCCTAAAATTCACAAATGAATTCAAATCAACTAAAGGCATAGTTGGGTTTCTTTTCAACATGTTCTAAGTTTATTCTATGGAACACAGACGAACCACAACAATCGCTTATTGGATGGTACATAAAACGCTGATACTGTTGAACAAATTATTATACCCAATTGTCAAATCCAAGAATTGAATTCAGTAACCCGAAAACGAATGGAAGTATGAAACCACAATATTGGAAATATTCAAAGTCCATATAATACAGAAACACTCCAAACAATAATACTTAGCACTACGCAAGTATTCGCCCTTTTGAACAACGAATATATTCAGATGCTCACATCTTACTCAATAAACTTAGATATAATAGAAAACAACAAAGTGTGTGCAGATCTTTCCAGAATAAACACCTTTTGAGTAAACCAATAGATTCAAATGGACACAAAGCATAGGCGGAATCAATACTATTAAGTGGGAAAATTCCCAATGCTTCGAGGTCATAGAACTCTCTGGAACTCTCATGAATCAAAGAAATTTTGAAAAATGAAAATTCTTGGTCCTCCATAGATACGAGTAAGGTAGACGAAACAGCAATAAGTCAAGATTTGTTCAATACTGCATTACAAACATATCAATTATCACAGTAATTGCATAAAAAATCCGGAGAATGACACTGAAAAAAAGAAAATATTAATAACACAAAATCCCCCATAAACCCCAGATTTTCCATGTGCAAGATTTGCTTAAGTATCCTCTGGAAATTCAGAAAATAAAATCAACCCATTAATTTTCTTGGTCTTCTAGCATCTGGGCCCTCATTAAATTTCCAGAGAAATACATAAATGTTGTGTATGTTCTATCACTTAGTGTGTGTTGTGTGTGAAAAAATCAAAGCTTTTACCTCCTTATTTTGCTGCTTTTCTTCATCTGACTTTCCAGTTACAGTATCTTCTTCCCCTTGTCGAGTTACTATCACTTTTTCATCATCCAAACAACGATCCGACTCCATCCCACGACTACTCTCGTCGGAAATCTCGTCGGAGTACTCGCCGGCTATGACTTTCCCGTTCTCCGGTAACACAATCTTCCTCCCAAATAACTTAATCTCCGGCTCCTTCGCTTCCATCATTTCTAATTCTCTCTTTTCAATAAAATTCTGAAGTAAATTCTCGAGGCGTTGTTGGCAATGTTGGGCAGTTTGATTTTGATCCGCTGCTTTTAACGCCTTCAAAATGTGGTTGCCACGTCATCATGTGATTGATTTTCTCAGCCACATGTTTTTTAATAATAATTTTTGCCCACAAAATTTATATAAATTTTTGTTGCATGTAAATTCGGTGCTGCCTATATTTGTGGGTACCAAATTTTCTGTTAAATGTTTGAAAAACCCCTACTGTTCAGTGACGTGTAAGACGATGATTCGCCAGAAGTAGATAAGGGTTGTACTTTGGTGTGAACGACTTTCAGGTGATTAAGGATCACAGGCCATGATGATAGAATCATATCTAGAATCGGATGGCTCTGATTTCATCTTCTGAAAGTACACTTTTGGACTGGTTATAAGGATTTATTTTTGGGCTTTGCTTGATATACATAATTTTTTGTACATCAAGAAGTCCCACACTCATATGGGGTGAGGGCCGCTCGAATTCTCACCCTATGTGAGTGTGGGACGCCTTAATGTACAAAAAATATGTACTTACAATGTTATTCGTTATTTTTAGTCTCACTCTTTTCAAAATTCATTTTCAAAAGAATAATGTTACATGTAGATCAGGGTTTCTATAACTATGTTTACTCCACTCACATGGAGTTGATCCCCCTCCGCGTGAGGAGGTTGACACTGTATTATATACAAGCAGCATATTCCTTTTTAAAACTTATTTTCAATTAAACATCATTTAATATATATTTCTATTTTTCTTTTATTTGTGTTGACTTTTATATTCATATTTATTTACAAAATGGTTATATGCACTTGAAAGAATATATTAATGGTATTCGTGTGAAAATCATCTGCTATGACAGGCTGACAATTCTTGACCAGTAGCGTTGGTTCAAAATTGTAGATAAGACAGCAAATTAATAAAATTGATTATTATTTTCATTCTTGAATTCTTTTCAATTATATTCGATGCAATACGTGTTCGTGTTCGTGTTCACGTTCAAGCATTCGAGTTAAAATATTTGGCAGGAAATTCTAAAGAACCCTGCTCCCTGTCCCGGGTCAGGGATTGGAGGGGCGCCTGCCACTCGGCAGGCACCCCTCCAATAGGGGGGCGCCACGTGGCGCCCCTGTCTTTCTCCCTGTCCCTGACCCGGGACAGGGAGAATTATTCAATTCTAAAAGCATTAAAATATCTGTTACCATTGTGATAAATAATTTTTATTAACTCCATAAAATATAAAAGATTTCTTCATTAATTTGGCAAAGTTGACTTTAGAGTGCAGAGCATTGAGTAACGCCACTTATCTCGGGCCACATGGGCCCCCCAGCCAATTGGCGGGGAGGGGGACATATGTCCTCGCTGGAAATCCCATCTAGCAAAATTCGTAGAGTAGTAGGTCATGGTGACATCAGAATTTACACAAGTGGGACCCACTATTAACTTAAAATGTAAAACAAGTCTGTGTTTTAAACAAAATAAGAATATTTTTCAAACTTTTATCCCATTATATACTTTCACGGGTAACATTTGTTTCTTAGCACTTTAGTCCCTAATCCTTTCAAAATTAAGTGCGAATGGTCCACACCCTCCGGTTTAAATAAATGAAAAGTAAAGGAAAGTGAACGAAAAAAAAGACAGAAAAATTAATCATTTTCATTTTTTGATAGTCATTTTTTGATTTTTTGTGCTATTTAGTTCTTCATTTATTTTATGGATAATTGTGTCCTTTATTTAAATTTAAAGATGGTTATATCGACCAGGTTTTTAATTTTTTTTTATTTATAAATTAGTCATAAATAAAATCCTTTCTCTCTCTCTCTCTCTCTCTCACACACACACACATTTTTTTAATTGATATTGACTCAAGATTGAATGGATTGAAATATATGAAAATTCGGGATTTCTACGCTGAGTAATATTTTCATAAGACTTGATTCATCGATTTGGATTACCTTGTTTTCTTAAAGTTGTTTCGAATTTTATATTAGCGTACAATTTTGATTCTAGTTTTGAACAAGAATTATTCTATGGGTACATAATATTGTACATAAGGGTGTCCAAAATGGACACCCAACGGCCCCCTATTGGAGGGGGGCCTATTTATTTAATTTTTTCCCCAAACTTATTCTCAATAACATATTTTGCAGTTAAACTGTATTTATAACGTGCATGTCTAACAAAAATTGTATTTACCCTTTAAAGAAATGGAAATTGTTAACAGTGATCTACTTTTTAAAGATGGAGGAGCTTGATACGAAGAAATAAAAATAGAGTTAAAAGTATAAACTTTAATATCTGTTGGGGACTATTGCTGCAATTTGTCCACTATATTAATAAGGGATTCTATGAAATTGGTTTCTCAAATGTCTATACTCTAGATATACATTTGTGCAAAACAAAGATGATCTAATTTGCGAAGATCATGTTCCAAAAATAATAGTATAATTACAATTTTGAAAATGAACATGTTATCCTTTTTAAACCTTTGTACAAATGGTAAATTCTGTTCCATATAATTATACTTTACAATCAATCAGATAATTGTACTTCAATTTCATTCATTCATATAATCTCTCTTTTGTTCGACTTCAATTGGGTGACTCCATCGAACACCATAACTTAGACGGATGGAAATTGATGACACGAAGATCAATAATGATGATCGTCATGTATTTTACTGAATTTGCACTTATTGGGTCAGCAACTAACGGTCACTTGTGATGACCATCATTTGTTTATCACTTCATCTATTCTCGTCAATAGAATTTAATGGAATTATATTGATTGAAATCAAACTAAAGTATTGAAGTATTATTACCAAATTCACTCTATAACAAAAGTATAACTATTACAAATATATTTTATCACCTCCTCTAAATGGGTGGGGGTTGGGGGGTGGGGGGGAATGGTTGCCATCCGTGGCAAGTGTGAAGAGCATTGAGAAACCCAAACTTGAGGCTGGCATCTTATATTATAATTAGTGTCTTCATCTCTATGTCCTAATTTACAAGGCAGGGCTCTAAGTGGACAACACGTGCTAATCATCTTAATTAAACTTAATTAATCAAGACTCTCAACTTATCTAATACAACTTTCCAGAGAGTGCCACCTGTCCCATTTTAATTCTTAATGATATCTCCAAAAATAAAAAAATAATTTCCACACTTTACCCAAAGAGAGATAAAAAGTACTAAGCATATGTTTTTCTCTTTCGGTGTAAAGTTCTGTTTATTTGTATTTATTAATAAATATTAGCTTCTAATGTTGGATTTAATCGCTCATTGTCTAATTTGAAAGAGACTTTTTAATTTAAGAATTGGCCTTTAAAAATGTTAAGGACATGTGGGCGGTTTCTCACACTTTGGACCAACAGAGTTTTTAATATCTTATGATAGATATTGACAAAATTGCTCACCTATAGAGTAATGATCAAAATGAAGATTTTAGACTTTACTATTAGTCAAGAGTGAGAGAAATTTCATCTTTCTTGCTTGGTTATCCGACTCAAGGGGACATAAAAAGAGGTTCAAATAAACTAGTTTCGAATGATAAATGATTAGGATGTTAGACAGGATGAGAGAGTAGATTGAACCACACATCGACTCATTTTGGGAGACCTGAGAGCCGAGCTGATTCAACTTGCATTCGAGGAGAGTTGCGGGCTCAAGCTAAGCAGCAAAACACTAGACTTGTACAAGTTGGCTAGCGGGCTAGTTTGCTAGAGACTCACAAACAACTCATCTTATTGGTTCAAGTCAAAGAAAGAATAAAAATGATGAGCTGTAGAGCGACTTGCCCCATCAAGGGATGAGCCAAATCACACTTGGTTGAAGCTAGACAGTTCACCCTACAAGTGAGCGTGTGCTAACTCACATGGTGGGAGAGCTGAGCACGACGAAAGACAAGTCAAGCTACTTGGGTTGATCTATTCAACACCCTTAGTTAGAATATAGAGCTATAGTATGGACGAGTAATTTTCAAGAAGAACAATTTTATTCGAGTAATCAAAATGGAAGAAAAAAGCGATTTTCATAGTGAAAAGTCGTTTAAATGAAATAGAAAGATAAGTGGGGGTGGATTTATAAATATCTAAAAGAATATTGATGCCTTTGATAATGTTGCTTGGTAGTGACTCAAAGAAATATTGCTTGCAGTGTAAGAGTTTATCTAATTACCAAAAGAGAATAGAGCCCTCAAGGTTTAAAATATATCATTAAAGCCCTTTGGAAACTTGTACATAATAGTACCACACATTTTTTTTTTCCTTTGAATGTCAATGACACGTAAACCAGAATAAAACATGACTCAATATTGCGAACTCAAAGAAAGAAGGTCGTGCCTTTAGGTGCGAATACATTTGAGGAAGAAAGTGCAATATTCGTAACCGGTCACAGTTAATTATAAACACTATATTCAATGTTTTAGGTCAATTAAGTTCAATTTTTGATAATTTGCCCTTCTTTTTTTAGTAGAAAGTTCTTGAACAAATTTGTAATTTTTTAAGAAAAAGTATAAAACTATATCGATTCAATTTAGGTTTACATGTCTTAAATCAAACATGATATGTGTTGACCCCAAAAAGTGCGCCAACAGATGCCGGTCCCACCCGTGCTTGCGTGGGCGAATGTCCAACACACTAAAACACGTGGACGGTCTAAAATGAGCGGTTCAAAGGGGCGTGGAAGTAGCCCAACGACGCGGGACGGTGACGTTCGGAATCCAGCGAGTTATTCGTAATCCGGTTGTACAATAATTACCAACCGGTGCTTGTATATGTATGTGTAAAAGTGTATAAACCCAATTTGTGTATTGCAAGTAAATGAGAGAGAGTTGAGAAAATGTGGTCTTTAGTATTGATTCTTGCATTAGCATTTTACATTATACAATGGGGGTATTTATAGTGATACATATGGAATGGGAGCCCTTGGATGAAGTGGTACGTGGCCTCATCTCCTTAGTTCAAATGTCTGTTCTTAGGCATGGGACTTGACTTGCTAGCTTACGGCGTATTTATTGCTTGTGCAGGGCCTCCATGCTAGTGACAAGACTT